GCTGCTGCTCCAGACTTTGCTTTGGAGGAATGGCTTGGGGAAGTTTGGCCAGGAAACGTAGCCTGAGGCAGCTTTGCAGCCCCCTCTTTGCTTGTTGCACTTTTTCCATTTGTTCCTTCGCTTTTTGCAGGCTCTGACTCAGGGAAGGTGCGTATTATCCACTAGACACGTCGAAGAAGAGAGAAACCAATTAGGGTCGAAATAAATGCTAGGGAGAGAGAGAGGGAGCGAGAGAGAGGGAGAGAGAGGGGGAGAGGGAGAGAGCCTTGCTTCAAATTGCTCTCTCGTGTTAGAGACGAAATGAGAATTTAGGGCAGGTGGCACTTTGCATTATTATTATTTGGGTTCACATATGACAGGCAAATCCTAAAGCGGGATGGAAATGGACATTGCTACATTTATGGCCAAGGTTTCAACAAAATAAACTTTTTTTTCGCCTTTGTCAGCGTGAGAGTTGGAGAGGGGAGCGAGCCCCGCTTCCCAGCCTGGATAACGCTGCTGGGGACTGGGGTTGCTCAAACTCTTCGGGAAGCGAATATTGTTTGGGGAGCTAATGAGCCTAATAAAAACGTGATGATGGTGCTGAGGGGCTGGTGGGGGCTGTAAGAAATATTGACTTGTTTTCAGGTCTGTGGGGGATGATGTTTCGTGGTAGACAAACTATTAATGTAGTTCACAGCGAATGTGGAAGGAACTTTTGACTAACAGTGGACTCGGGAATCTCTTGTTTTCCAGTAGTAATGCCTCTTTGTTTTTTTTAGATGTTTTCACCTCCTGTGAGCAGTGGGAAAAATGGACCAACTTCCTTGGCAAGTGGACATTTTACTGGCTCAAGTATGTAAAATTTTTGTTTCGTATGTAGTTAAAATGTTGTTAGCTATTTATCCATAGGCATTACCTTTGTTGTGGTTGTGTTAATCTCTTCTGAGGAGCAGATTCGTTCAGATTTGAGCAGAATTATTCCTAAGCGCTGGCTATTACTATTGTTATTATTTCCACAAGACTGGGACATTTTCACAGTATTTCCATACATTTATGATTTTTTTAAAAAAACCCTAAACTTCTCCTCTGTGCAATTATTCAAGGTGAGCTGGTTTAAATCTTTTTTAAAGTCAGCATTGGAGATTTTTATTTACAATTTCAGATGCTATCTTTTGTATGTCAGAAATGATAATCAAAACATCTTGCGTGAGAATTAATTTTGTGACTAAGAATTGAAGGCTGCTTAAATTAAATAAATAAATAAGCAAGTATCCGAGTATAAACACCAATCTCTTCCGGGAAAAGAACCCTTTAGTATTAGAGATCACTGTTGGCCGATGGAATATTTTTCGGTGAATTAAAATCTTCAGGCTAGTTTCTTTTCCTGATGGAAGACAGGGCATTTTCTTTCTAAATATTTGACTCCTTTTGAAGAGTCCCTGAAATGTAACTGGAGGATTTGTTTGTTTGTATGTTTGTTTATTTGGCTGTAGTTAGTACTATATGGGCAACTTCTGCATTCTAAACAAACAGGAGTCCTGTTTGACGACAAAAGAAATATCAGAGCTCTTTGCGGTAGAACATATGTGTACAATAATTGTCTGGCAACTAAAGTTTTATATAGAGGCTTTTATATGCCTGACAAATTAGAAGTAAAACTAGCAAAGATACTTACGCATTTGAAATTTCCTTACTCTTCTATTAAGTTCGTTTAAGAGGGTTCCCTGCCTTGCGGATGTGGTGTTTTGGACAGGACACAAATACATGTCCGGGTAGAGAGTTGCAGTGTTTTAAAAGCACAGGCAATTACACATACCAACACACTGTACGTAGTATTGTTATACACAGAGTACTGTTCTAAATCAGATGGTAAATTTGGACAAGTCTTCACTGCAAACTGCCAGTGGATATCTAGATATAAACACGTCATTGCATATGGTTTCATGCCTGGTATTTGCAGTTTGTGCTCAATTAAAGGAACCTCTTCTGTGTATTCAGTATAGCCATTTTTATTAAATGCACTAGTATGTCAATTAACTTTTTATTTCCGAAGAAGGACTTCCTAATTTGAAGGTAGTCTGTAATATACATTTTTAAGATACTAATCAAATGCCGCCTACAATTATTAAGCACTCATTTTGTGAATTTTACTCTATTCAGGCTTTCAAAATAATAACATGTTTCTGTTTTATCTTCACAAATTTGGTTACTTTATGAATATAGTGGCTTGGAGAATTTTCCTGTTAGGTTTGAATAACTTTCCAAACAGAATTTGCCTTACATCTCACGAGCTAAAGATTTTAACCCTATTTTTTGTCATTTTCTGAATTACATAATTTTAATAACTGATTTAACCGAACATAATATTCACTGTATTTGTTTTCACTGGAAAGAAGGGAAGAGTGTTTGTGCCAGACAAATCAATTGGTCATGCTTATATACCAGTCAATGCAGCAACTAACACTTGGTCTAACAGCAATTGACTAGGTAGTTATATTTAATAAACGCATCGTAAACCTCATCTATGAAGTCATTTTGATCAGAAATACCACGGATAGCAAATCTGAACAGTGAGTGAAATCGAGGGGTTATATTGTTTTTTATTGTCTCTAAATCTGAAAGCTAATGCAAAGTAACTTTGACGCATCATTTTAGACACACAGATAATTTAATGAGCTGAAATAAGTTAGTAATATTAAGATATAGACCATTTAAAATAACACCTGAACTCTCCCACACTGTAACGACATGTAAATGCTTGAATACACCAGTCTCTGATGGTGGAGGATGAAGTAGCCTGCTTGATAAAGGAACGTATACTGTATGTTGGTAGATTGTTTGCACAATGGCGTGCAGCACAGGGTACGCTCTTCTAAGGGAAAATCATTCTGAATTTACGATATAAATATCTGTTGCTTGGTTATTAGACAGGGAGTTTTGTAGTGAGTGATCAGTGATTTCAAAAAAGTTGTCAGAATGTAGGTATCAGTGAATTGCCCCTCGCTGATACTCGGTGAGAGGGTGGATGTGTGGCCTGAAGATACAGTTGCGTGAAGGAGAAGCGTGGCTATTGTTTCCCTGTGCTCTTGCTGGCCAGCTAGCTGTGTGCGAGAGTCTTGCTTCTTAAGAATATTTGGTGTGCGGTGTCGTAATGAGCCAGCACTTGAGAAATTCAGATTTGATATGATAGTGCCCAGACAACTGCTTCAAGAGATGTTTTCTGCAACTATATGGAAGGATTAAGGATAGGTCCATTACTAACATATGAACACAGTTTATTATTCTAATTATGCATATTGTTAATACAGAATTTTAGCTATCCGAATGCAGCCTGTTCTTCCTCCTGGACAGATGCCCTTCTGAAGTCTGAGCTGACCTTCTCTTAATGGTCCTCTTTTAAAAATTATATTTACTGAGATGGGGAACCACAGATGTCATTCCTCTGCATTAACCCGAAACTTCTCTTATAGGGGGGAGAAAAAAAGACAAAAAAAAAAAAAAAAAAAAAAAGGACCCCAAAGAAAAGTAAACCCAAGCAGTGAAGTGAAACTAACTGTACTTTAGGAAGTGTGGTAATATTTCATGCTTAAAGTCACCTTAATAGCTTTTTACTCATCTAATATATGATGCTCTATTGTGATTTGTAATGTGTGAATGAAAATAAAGTAAAGCCACATTTCCTTTTAATCTTTAATTTCACAAACATGGCTTCTTACCATGTTAAGAAATGGTGAGGGCTGCAAGGGAGAAAGGAATGTAACCTGAGCCACAGCCGTGACATTCCCATGGAGCATTTTTCACATGAAAGGCTTTTGTCAACCTAGTAAAGGACCAGGAGTTTTTGTTTGATGTTTGCAGGTGTTCAGCAGAGAGCACTAAAACAATTCAGCCATGCTGGTTTAGAGACTCTGACCTTAACAGGGAGAATTGGTGAAGACTGAAAATTATTTTTAGAAAACTCCCCTGGAGTTACCTCAAATTTATATTGTATTTGTAAAGTGATTTAATACCTGTTACTTAAATTGAACAATACACATCCATTAGAACGAAGCAGGGTTTTTCTTTTTTCTTTTTTTTTCCTTCCTTTTTTTTTTTTCCTTTTTTAGGACAGTTGCCAAAATAAAATTAATTTTCCCAGATTTTCTAAAATTTTCTGAATAGTTTACCTTAGCTTCTGCAGTAAAAGCATTTGTCATAATCTTAGTGCGAGCCGTTGTAAAATAAGGGGAAGATGATGATCGCTGGTGCTCGATTTTTGGGAATGGATTTTGAAGCAGTTTTTCAACAATTGTGGTGCTCAAGAATTTGCTAGGTCTGTCACATTTCGCATATTTCAGTTTTCGAACTGTTAATCAAAGCCCACATCTTCCTGATTATGTTCAATTTCTGCTTCTTCTATTTTAAGTATTTAATTTTACCTAAGTTTTCAAGCATCTGTTATAGATTGCCCACTATGTATATGTTTGAATATTGTGTAGGTGTGAGTAGCAGTAGAACAACTGACTTCTTATGACTGGCCATTCCTATTGCACAAAAAAAAAAAAATCTAAAATCTTTGCTAGCACAGACATCACTGAATAAAGCAAAGTCAGTTTAAGGGATTTAAAGGCTTGCTTTTAATTTTGCCATTAGTTTGATTAGGGCTTGTCCTGCATTAGAATAACAGTGATTACAAATTAATACATCTTTAACTAGGGAATCACAAATTCAGCTTGATTTTGAAGTCCTTTTTTTACTTCTGATGTGTCTGTGAGTAAATGATAACCAAATATAGTTATTTAAGTACAGTTCATTTTTGCAGTGTGGCCTTCTGGGAAAGGTGCATAATTTTGCTATTATTGGTGGATCATCAGAAAAACTGGAGTTAAATACAATCTCTATCTTGAAAACGTTTTGACAGCCGCTCAGGTTAGGTACACCCTGGGATGCGTGCACAGGTCCCATTAGCGGCAATAGGAATAATGCGTGTGTGTGCTAGGGAAGAATACACCCTTTACTAGGGAGGATTTTGAAAGAGTGCAATTTATTTTGGAGGTTATAATGCAGAATTGCCATTCAAAAGAAAAAAATTAATACATGAGAAATTTTAAGCAGATGGATCAGAAAAGTACTTTTAATAATGAAGAAGTGTAGTAGGTACATGGCTATTGCAATTCCATAGGTGACTCTGAAGGGTAGTCCACATTTGTAGTGGTATATGTCAGAAAACACAGAAAATTACGATTGAATTTGGGTGTTGGCTTTGCTTGCGTGTTGCACCACGTTCCTCCGATTGCCAGGCGCCATTCCAGGTCTCCAGCGTGCTGGTGCGCAGGGCACGGCACCTCCGAGCCCCAGACCCTCCGGCCCCTCGCCCGGCCCGGCTCTGCTGCTGCTGGCCCGTGGCAGTGCTTTGTAATACTCCTCTCTTGTTTTGCCTGTTGAAAAATACTTGAGGCTTTAGCTACGTAGATACACAAAGACAACTGCTTCCATATTTTTCATCCCTAATGTTTCGTAATTATGATTAAGAAGAAGAAGAATGCTAGTTACCTCCCATCCTTCCAGCTATGTTTACTTGTGAAGCGTTCAATCCTCCTCCCCTCCGAGTCCTATTAAAAAGAGTACTGTGGGGGCAGAAAAAGACCCACGCTACGGTATTTGAATTGGCCTGAGACACCGTACTGCATACTTGGAGGAGCTAAATATATAGTTACAAAGATGAGAGGTTACTTCTGAATTTGTATCTTGCTTGCAGTGGCAAACTGAGTGTATCCTGCAGAGGACGTTCCAGAGACACAGCCACCTACAGTCACTCACATAGATTTAAATCTGGAAGCTAAGGTCCTATCTTGGTAATTAAAAAAAAAAAA